TGCGGGCTCAGGCAGCACGTGGCCGAGGCCCCGCGGGGGGGCCGGGGGCGCTCGCGCCAGCTGGGCACTGAGACAGCCTGCAGGTGGGTCTCAATCACCCCTGAGCTCCTGGAAACGCGGTCAGCCCACCCCTGGGAAACAGGGAAGGTTAGAGGCTTATCCTGTACAACCCGTGTCACAATAAATGCTTTTGTTTTTTGTGTTTTTTTTTTCAATCGTGGAACCGAGTCGTTACTCGATATGAAACGTGGGCCAGATGAATGATGAACGAACGTGTGTTATTGAGCTCTAATACTGCCCAAGGTCTCTCTTTACGGTGTACACTTTCAGGTCACTCATGCCTGGGATTTTGTCTTCCACACAGTAAGGAGACCTTGGGAGAGCGCGCCTGCAGGGGGAGGACGGTTTCTTGAATTAGTGAAAGGCCTTCCCACCAGGTGAACCGCGGGTACCAACGAGGTCGGGTAGGGGGGCAGGTGGACAGCTGTGCAGGTCACTTAGGCGCAGGGCGGGCTTTTCTCTGGAGTTGGCCCTGGTAGTCGCCAGTGGCGCCTGAAATGCGGCCGGTCCAGGTCCAGGTCTGATCTAAGTGCAAAATGTGCACCGGCTTTCTCAGACGTAGTGTGAACAGGAAAGAGCGTACACGGTTTCATTTTATATTGATTGCACGCTGAAACGAGAATGTTATGGAAAGTTTAAAATCACAGTACATTTCTGTCGGATAGGGCTGCTCTACAGGGAAGGAGATCTATTCTCAGAGCTTCCGGGTTGCCTTCTAGTACGGTCCCCACGGCTTACACAGGGGGACACATTCTGAGAAATGCACCGTTGGAGGATTTCATCATTGTGTGACCACCATGGAGCGCATGTACGCAAACCTAGGTGGAACAGGCTCCTGCACACCCAGGCTCCATGGTGTAGCCTACGGAACCCAGGCTACAAGCCTGTTCAGTACAGCAGGTGACTGTACAAAACTACACAAATTAAATCAGCCACAAGAGGCAGGGATGCAATGCAGGTGGAGCAACAAACTGATGTCTCTCTCTCACACGCACCAATCAATCAATCAGTGCATCAACTTTTTAAAAGCACACATGGATGGGGCTGCTGCCAGCATAAAATGGCTACAGCTTTTCAGCAAACAGTTTCTGATAAGTAGAAAGAGCCCTCTCTGAAATAATGGTAGGAAGTATAGTATAGTAAATACGTAAACCAGTATCAGAGTTGTTGGTCATTATCTAGCCCTGTGTACTGTATGTAATTGTGTGTGCTGTACTTTTATACCACTGGCAGCACCACAGGTTCGTTTCCAGTAGCAGCACCACAAACATGGGGTCATGTGTTGCACTACCCCATCACTAGGCCAAAGGGAAGTTTAGCTCAGAATCTTATGGGACCACTGTCTTATATTTGGCCTGTCATGGACCAGGACATCCTTATGCAGCTCCTGACAAATCTCTCACCTTCCAGGCCAGTGATGGTGAACCTTTTGAGCTCGGTGTGTCAGCATTTTGAAAAACCCTAACTTAACTCTGGTGCCGTGTCACATATAGAAATGTTTTGATATTTGCAACCATAGTAAAACAAAGACATATTTTTGATATTTATTTTACATATTTAAATGCCATTTAACAAAAACCAAAAAGATGAGTTCGCGTGTCACTGCTGACACGTGTGTCATAGGTTCGCCATCACTGTTCTAGGGTAAGAAGACCAAGTCTCACTTAACAGTCATTAAGGAAGGCAGCCCGTTCACACTTCTCTGGTGGGCCTATAGGTGTACTGTGCTTCACTTAATTTTTATGAAAGGGGGGAAAAGGCCTCCAAAAGACGGTGATTTTCAGAAAGCAAGTTCTAGTTCATGGAGCCTTATAAATGTCACATGAACATGACAATACCTATTGATAAAAGTAAAGATACCAAGCCAGCTGACAGCGCCAGCCCCACTCGCACCTGCTGATGGTGTGGAGTGATTGGGACCAGCACCAGCAGTGGGTGCGAGCGGTGGCTGCTGCCCTGATCGCCCCTTAGGAGCCTGGGGCGGTGGAGAAGCCCTCAGGGGTGATCAGGGCAGCAGCCGCCACTCGCACCATCTGACAGCACCAAGCAATTGGGACCGGCAGCAGGTGTGAGTACCAGGCGGGACTGTGGTGTGCAGGAGCAAAGAATTTTCAGTAACCACCAGAGGCTTGCCCTGATGACAGCGACTGGCGCCCCACCTTGGTCTGGCGCCCCTGCTCACCTACTCCATGATCCTGCCATGGCCGATGCCCACCATGTTCCACGCTCTACCATCTGCTGCCAATGCCCGCCATGTTCCACGTGTGCCCCTGGTGGTCAGCACACATCATAGCACCGGTTGTTTGGTTGTTCCACCGTTCGCTCTATTTGTATACTAGGGTTTTTTATAGAGAGATAAAAGCCTGAGCGACCGAACGACCAGTCGGCCGGTTGCTATGACACGCACTGACCACCAGGGGCAGACACTCTACCATCTGCTGCCAATGCCCGCCATGTTCCACGTGTGCCCCTGGTGGTCAGCACACATCATAGCACCGGTTGTTTGGTTGTTCCACCGTTCGCTCTATTTGTATACTAGGGTTTTTTATAGAGAGATAAAAGCCTGAGCGACCGAACGACCAGTCGGCCGGTTGCTATGACACGCACTGACCACCAGGGGCAGACACTCAACACAGGAGCTGCCCCCTGGTGGTCAGTGCGCTCCAACAGCCAACCTCCCACAGCTGACCGGCCAACCTCCCAAGGTCCCTCCTCCCATCTGGCCGGCCAACCTGCCAAGGCTTGTCACCCCAGCTGGCCAGCCCCCCAAAATCGGCCCCAATCGCCGGCCCCGCCAAGGGACCCACCTGTGCTTGAATTCGTGTACCAAGTCTCTAGTCAATAATAATAATAAAAGAAACATGTAGAACATTACAATTTTTGTTGAAAATGTTTAAAATAAATTCTGTTTTTTATCGTTTAATCTCTAAATACATTATATCATTTTAGATTTCCAATGACCCAGTAAGGCGAGGTTTCAGGGAAGATTTGTTTCCTGTCTTTTTGTGCTTGCTTTATATTTATTTTCACTCATTTATTTAACAAAAGCAGCGAGGGGCCAGGAGTATTGCTAGACAGTGTTGAAATAAAGGTGAACTACACAGACATGGATGGCCCTTGCTCAGAGCTAATGAGTATCAACTCGGAGACAGTGAAAAAGTAGATAATGACCAAGGCATAGTATATTTTCCCTTTGATTAAGTGCTGTGCCCCTGTAAATTCAACACGTTAATTGTTTTAAACCTAGAATTTATATATTCCTGCCGACATGTTAAGAAAGAGTCATTAGGATTTGGCTCTGGGCTTAAAAAACATTAGTAAAAAAATCAAAGTCTATTTAATGCATGCATTAATTATGAAAACCTAAAGAATAAAATCTTTAAATTGGAATATTTCTGTACCTTTGTGAAAAAGATGAAAAAATTATAATAGCATCTTACTTATAATAGCCCTTCAGCGACTTTTAGGCTCTTAGGAATTTAATAATAGATCTGTAAAGGAGACATTGATTTATGCTCCTAACATCATTTAAAATTGCTGACTTTAAAAAGTTATTTTAGCATATTACATAGTTCTTTTTTTAAAAAAAAATGTATTTTTATTGACTTCAGAGAGGAAGGGAGAGGGAGAGAGAGATAGAAACATCAATGATGAGAGAGAATCATTGATTGGCTGCCTCCTGCATGCCCCACACTGGGGATTGAGCCCTCACCCCTGGGCATGTGCCCTGACCAGGATTCAAACCCTAACCTCCTGGTTCATATAGGTCCACAGAACCATTGCCACACCGGCCGGGCAGCATATTACATAGTTCTTAAATCAACGAGTGCATCAGGACAAAAGGGAAAAATTCTAAGAGTTCACAGCAGGTGAGATTGACCCCGATTAGAGGTACAGGAAGGCGTGCCAGGAGGGTGCCCAGAAGGTGTCCAATCTGACTGCTGAAGCCTGGGCAGGATTAGATATTTGGCTATTAGAGGACAACTATGCCAGCTGAGCAAAAAGGGTGGAGAAGCATGAGACAGGTGAGGAGACGTCTCCTCGCAGTGGCTGGAGCTGGGGCGGGATGAGGAATCGTGGGAGATAACACTGGAAAAGTAGTTTGGAGCCTGGTTTTACCGGTATAGGATGTAAAAAAAAAAAATCAGGAATATTTGTTTTAGTAAAAAATTGATTCTTGAGTTTTTTTGACTAATCATTTAAATCAACTACATCTTAGTTTAAATTCTGTAATGGAAATATTATAGAGATAATATTCTGGTGAACTTGAAACATGGCATCTGATTGTATGGATTGTATGAAAATCAGAAATTTAGTTCCAGTGAAGTTCAAAAGAAAAATAGGCTCACAGGACACTTGGTGTGGCTCTGTTTTCTTTTTTTTAAAAAAAGATATTTTTATTGATTTCAGAGAGGAAGGGGGAGAGAGAGAGATAGAAACATAATGAGAGAGAACCATTGATTGGCTGGCTGCCTCCTGCATGCCCCACACTGGGGATTGAGCCAGAAACCCGGGCATGTGCCCTTGACTGGAATCAAACCTGGGACCCTTCAGGCCGCAGGCCAACACTCTATCCACTGAGCCAAACCAGAGAGGGCATGGCTTAGTTTCTTAACACATTCAAAATGTGTTCAAGACTGTCACATCTCAGTGGGAAGCTGGGGGTGGGTGGATGGGTGGGAAGAAATCTCCCCAAAACCTGTATGTATATATGCACAACTCATGGACACAGACAATAGGGT